TGCTAAATACCAACATCTCTTTTTCATCCACAATGCATGAAAAGATGAATGGCATACACTGAAGTTATAAATTTCTACCTAATAACTTTAGTTATGGGGAAATTTATATCTATATATATATCTAAGAGGTGTGAGTCATTTCTCTCATTGATTTGTCACCCTGACACCACAGTACAAGTTGCACTATACATTTCAGACAGGACCTACTCCCTTATCACAAGAGTTTGATGCTTAGTGCTTTCTTAGGAGGAACTGATACCTTTCAATCAAACATTTTATGCTCAGATTAGAATCATTTACTAACCAAGACTTCAAAAATTTGTTTTCAAAGATTTACACGTTTCTAGATATCAAAGGGTAAAATGAAAATGAAACAGTCTTGATATCTGCTTCAGAAGCACACAGAAGGCAGATTCAGGGAAAAGATACAGCCTGTGCATGCAAGGATGGCATTAGGAGAAACCAACATCCAGCTGGAGCTAAAACCGATAAAGGGCAGCAAGGACAGATACCTGCATCAGCAACAAAAGGAAGGCGAAGGAAGCAATCTCTCTTGCTCAGTGGAACAGAGAATCTGATAACCGTGTACACAGAAAGGTTGACCTATTTGATACCTCTTTTCCTCCAGTTTTCACTGGTAAGGTCCACCCTCAAGCCTCCTGGACACCTCAATCTAGTAGCAGAGTCTGCTGGAGTAAAGAATTACCTCTGAAAGAGGAAGCTTGAGCTCAGAAGCACAGAAGTCAGTGGGACCAGAAAGGATACATCTGAGAATGCTGAGGCAGGTGGCCCATGTCACAAAGATACCACACTACCACTTTTTAAAGGCCAAGAGATTGGGGGAGGTTCCTTATGACTGGAAAAAAGGCAAACTTAACACACAGCTTCAAGAAGAGAGAAGGGGAGGATCCAGGCTGCTACAGATCAGCCAGCCTAACCTAAGTCCATGAACGATTACAGAGCTATTCCTTCATCCAAGAGGGACAAGAAGGTGATGGGAAATAGCTAGCACAGGTTTACCAAGGGCAAATGATGCCTGATGAACACAACAGCTTACTGCAAGAAAATAACTGGCTTAGTAGATGATGGAAGAGCACTGAATACAGTAAGCCCTTAACAAATCTCCCATAGTATTCTTACAGCCAAATAGGCAAGACTGGCCCTGGGAAAGTGAACAGTAAGATGTTTGGGAAATTGACAGGACTGCTGGGCTGAAAGAACAGCAACTGGCAGTAGCAAGTCTGGTAACAAGTGGTTACAGTCCTATCTGTTGGGAATTATCACTGAAACCAGCACTATCTGACATCTTTATTAACAACTTGGGTGATAGGACAGAATGTATCCTCAGCAGGCTTGACAATGACACAAAACTGGGCAAAGTAGTCAATGCTCTGGAGGGCAGGGTTCCTTCAGAGAGGGACCTGAACAGGTTGGAGAAATGCATAGACAGAAACCTCATGAAGTTCAAAGGCAAGTGCCAAGTCCTGTATCCACAACAGAACACCCCTGTGTGACAAGACAGGCAGGACACTAACCAGATAAAAAGTGACCTTTGCAGAAAAGTACCGGGAGATCCCAGCAGGTAAAAGGTTGAAAATGAGATGGCAGTGTACCCTCACAGCAAAGGAGGCCAAGCATGCCCTGGGCTATTGAGCAGGAGTCTAGACAACTGGTCCAGGGAAGTAATCCATCCCCTCTATTCAGCACCTGTGAGACCACGTTTGGAGCATTGTGTCCAGTTTTGGTCTTCCTGGTACACAACAGACACTGACACACTGGAACAAGTCCAGAGGAGACCACTGAGCTGGCCAGGTGGCAGGAGCACATGATGTACAATGAGAGGGTGACAGAACTAAGTTTGCACACCCTGGGGAAAAAAAAAAAAAAAAAAAAGGAAAAAAGCTCAGAGGAATCCATATGGCTGTCTACAATTACCTAATTGAAAGGGTGCAGAAAAGACAGAACTGGGCTCTTCTGGATGGTGCACAGTGACAGGACAAGAAGCAACAGACAAGTTGGAAAGTCAAGTCCGCTTTGCTTAAGGTGAGTGGGTGGGGTTTTTATGAGTAATCAAACAAAGAAACAGGCTACCCAGAAAGTTTTTAAGGGCTGGAACAACCTTTAATAAATTGCTCTTACTTTAATTCAAGCAGGGACATGGATTAGAAGTCTCTTCCAACCTAAATCATGCTACTTCACTAATGTATTATTTCATCTGCCTAGGATTCTATATCATAAACTTTCATTCATCAATTTTTGCATCAAGTTTATTACTTCTAATTATGTATTTAAAAAATGTCAGTTGTCTTGTACATACAGGAAGCACGAATCCAATGTGGTATACAAAAATGTTAACATCTCTTACCTACCTGCCCTTAGAACTTCTTCCCTTCACACCACTATGCTTCCTCCACAACCAGGAAACATAGGTTTTCAGCATCAAAACAACTTTGCACTTTTAAGCTTACTTGACAAAAAAAAAAAAAAAAAAAAAAAAAATCCACAAAACCATGCCTTCTTTAATATCCTGATTTGTGTTTCAGAGATGATGACAGTAGGAACATATAGCACTGTAATGCACCTCGCTTTGTGGCAAAAGCAATTTTTTCCTCTGTCCACTTAAAATCAGTAGAATGATCTTTGTCCATGCTAGTCTTTCCAAGGACTCCACCAAGGAAACAATATGGCAGAGGTTTTTCACAAGGGCCTTACTCATCTTTCAAAGTAATCTATTTAACTAAGCAGGTTTTGGAAACTTTTTTTAAAATTATTTATTTATGTATTGTTTATAAACAGTCACACCCAACAAACTACTTTTTCTCTTTCAGCTTCACAAAGTCCGCTCTTGGAACACTTCTGGTATCAAAATCAAGTACACACCTTAGAAGACACCAAGGTATTTTCTAATAATTTACACATTGGTTTTGTGTAGTTTTGAGTTGAAGAATACAGAAAAAGGTGAAATAAAGCAATCTTCTCAAGTACATCAGCTTTGCTTGTGAACCAAGACTCGTCAAAGACAAAAAGATTCCCTTCAGCAATCTGGCATACAATAACGGCTCCTTTAATAGCTGTATCAGTATAACAGAGTAAGTTCAAACCCAGAACAAACTGTCAAAGGTATGAATTTCAGAAAGCATCTTATGAAAGCATACCTGAAAACGTCTTCATCTCCATTAAAAGGACACCTCTATGAAGTTTCGTGCTAATACTCAAAATGTGCATTTTAATTTTCACTTAGAAAAGTCAAGATTAAAATTCATGGGAAGAACCCAAGAGCCATTACAGGAAAGATCAGTATAGGTAGTGGTCAAATGAGGAAACAAACATCCAGTGTTGCACTTTGACACTTTTCTGTACCCATTTGTTTTAGAGTGCTGCTAGGCTTGATACCAAGATCAAAAGTGCTAACGTATCAGTCCATTGGGTACATAAAATAAGTATAATCCAAAGACAAATTAATCTAGACTGTAAATCAGAAGGTATGTAATTACTAAGGTCAGTCAAGTTTGAAATAGCCTTTCAATTACAGCAAAGGTGATAACAATATACAGCTGATTATTTTAAAATTAAGCTAATTAGATTTACAAAAGTCCCTATCTAACAATGTCCAGCCCACTCCTTGAAATTAATGGATCAACAAAAAGTTTACAAAGAAAGGATATGCAGAGGAAAACAACAGTTACTTCTGTGAACACACGGAATTAAAACAGAGAGGAAGCTCTTACAAGGCAGCAGTCAATTTAATGTTGCTGAAAGTAAAAAGAATCATAGAATAGCTTGGGTTTGGAGGGACCTTAAAGGTCATAGAACCACTAGATCAGGTTGCTCCAAGCCCCATCCATCCTGGCCCTAAACACTTCCAGGGAGGGACCATCCACAACTTTTCTGGGCAACCTGTTCAGTGCCTCACCACTATCACAGTTTCTTCCTTATATCTAATTTAAATCTGTCCTCTTTCAGTTTAAAGCCATTACAAATGACACCATGGCTTCATAATCATTGTAAGCCAGTACTGAGCAGAAAAATAAGAGTTCCTGCCGTTACTATGATTTGCTACCTTCACAACAAGTGGCATAAGCCAATCAAGACCACAGGGTAGCTCCTTTTAGCAGTACCACCTTCTTGTACTAGCTTATTATAAAACCACGACCCCCAATAAATGCATCACCCACCATAACATATGTGATTGTACCAGAACTGCTGTTAGCCTTCCTCCCTACCAGCACACTTCTTCCTCCTCAGGACTGAGACACTGTCCATATGGCCAGGCAAGTGAGCTGGTTCAGGGAGCTGTTCTAAAAAGTAATTGGGGGGAGGGGAGGGAGGGAAGGGAGATGGAAAGACGGGAAAGCAAAAAGAAAAAAAAAAGAAAAAGAAACAACAGGGAAAAAAAGTACTACTTTTTGACCAGGTAAGTTCTTTACTTACTTTCTGGATGTGGATGTCCCATTGACAACATAAGGGAAGGAGCAGCCACAACTCAGATTGTCTTCAAATGCTTGGGAGTATGCATCAAGAACCTGGTTTCCACAGAAAACCACATTATGCTCTCAACCTTTTTGGAACCCCTTACTAACATTACCAAATCTTAATCTGCTAATCAAATCTTAAAGGACTGAATGCTATTTTTAACCAAGCAATACATTTCACTGTAACCATCTTAAAGAAAACACTGCGGAGTACTTTCAGTAATGCTCCAATTCAGGTTCCTTCTTCCAACTCTGGAGTCAATTTGTGCTTACCGTATGTAACTATATTTGTAGTCTCTTCAGTTTAAACTGCAAACTAACCTCTTATTGGTGCCATTAATACCATCTAATCCACATAAATGTTGCTATCCTACCTAAAACCTAGACACAAGCATAACTTGCAGGACTAATCTTATGCCCCCAGTAAACCTTCATAAGATCTGGACCTTGGGTAACAGGCTTGAGTTTGATGGGCACTCAGGATTTTGGCCTGTACCACAGAGATTTGATCAAATAAAATCACAGTACCTTTCTTGAATTTAAAGGGATAAGAAGCTGTTGCATGTATTATCACTAAAATTTCTCTGGAAACAGAAAGGGCAGTTCCTCTTCTGCAAGATTGTAAAAAGTCACCAACATGGTTGTGAGACTACAGCTTAACAATAAAAGGGAAAAGCAACACTTTTCTAAGCCAGCTACTTCTTACTTGTTGCTAGATTTGTTCCCATTTTAAAGAAAAACTGACATTTTAAATCTTTTTTTTCTTTCCTCTCACAAAAGAATGGATGCCTACAGCTATCAAACATCTTAAGCTGATTTACAATACTATGAAAAACTATTTTAATAACAGAGTTTTGAAAGAGTGACAGCAAGAGCAAAGTACATGCCACACTTCAGAAACTTCAAATGAGCAGAGCTGCCAAGTCCGTTTTATCCAGAGCGCCATACCTACTTCAGACAGTTTCAGCAGGTTTTGAAGTACTCTAAAGACGAGGATTTTTATACCAGGTCAAGGCTGGGAAGGGCCTAACTGTGAAAGAGGGTTAAGAAAAAAGAAGAAATGGCACAACAACAAGACGTAGATGCACTTGAGCCATGCAGACACGGACTAGGATAGTAATTTGCTAGTTTGGGCTCTTGGGAAGTGACTTCACTTTTCCTAAGGAGGAGGAGGGAGGAAGGAAGGTAGACACTTCCACCACGTTCTCCCTTCTCTCACCACGAAAACAACTTGATTGTTTAAATCCTCCACTTTGCTCCAGCTTCATTCCTCCCGAAGCAGCGTTATCCCAGAGCCCAGCCGCGCACACGGAACATCAGCCCCCCAACACAAACCCAAGAAAACACGAAGAAGCGGCACCACCCCCCGAACAGCCACGCACCTCGTGCCGCCTCCTTCCTCCGCCGCTGTAACGGGGGCCGGAGCCAGCAGCCGGCGGCTCCAGGGGCCGCGCAGCCTGCCCGGAGGCGGCGGCCGTGCCGGCAGGGCCCGCCGGAGGAGGAAGCCACCTCAGGTCACTGGGCACTGTCACCCTGTGACGCGGGGCGGGCAGCCGCCTTTCTTCCCCCGCCTATCCTAAGAGCGACGACGTTACCGCTTCCACCCTCACGAGACCCCCACCCCCTCGCCTCACCCTAGCGAGGGAGGCCCGCGGAAACATCCCCCCCTCTCACCGATGGCAGCCGAGCCTTTCTCCCCGCTCTGCCGCCGCCTCCAGTCCGGCCGCTGCGTGGCTCAACCACCAGCTCTCTGCGCAGCGGAGTGGCAAGCCAGACGAGAACGGCTCGGCGGGCCGCGCAGCCGCCTCAGGGCCGGGCCAGCGCCGTCCACATTCCGGCGGCGGGTGGATGGCGGAGCGGGCGGGGGCGCGTGCGCGCACCTCTCCCCTCCCACCACTGACACGGCGCTACCGCCGGCACCGAGGGCGGCCGGGTGGAGCCCGGGGCGCGATCGGCCGTTAGCAGCTCCCGCCGCCCGCTTCGGGTCTGCTGTTCGGGATGGCGGGTTCGGGGGGCCGAGAAGGACGCGGTGTGCGAGCTGGCCCGCGTTGGGCTGCCTCGGGGGCCGACCTGCGCCGGGACTGCGGCCGTGCTGAGTGAGGGTGCTCGGTTTGGCCGCCGAGGCTCGAAGTCGGTCCTAAGTTCGTCGTGGCTTCGTGCGAGTGCCGCCTTCAGGAGATTCTGCCCTTTACAGGCGATCGGGCTGGCAAAAAGGCTGGCGCCGAAACGTGTCAAACTTCTTGACCACGCTGAAGAACAATGGAAGTGACCTACGAATCATGGCACTCTTAAAAAACGTTTTGCCTTTTCTTCTCATAACTCAGCCTCACTAAGGAGTAGCTTGTGTTGGCTTATCAACAGTGTTTTGGTATGGTTAAACAAATGTTTAATATTTAAATAGTAAATATAAGTGCATGTTGAAAAACATAAAGTTGTAAGTACGTTTAAATAATGAAAGGTTGTCCTGTTGGTTTTTCTTCCTTTTTTTTTTTGTCTTGTGTGTGAAACAAATTACACTTAAATTAACCACAAAATTTATACAGCTTGTCTCTGTTCTTTCCATTTCAGATGTGGATTAGCAAAACCTTAAGGAATGTCAGACCACAGCCTTAACATAACTTTGTTGTGTGAAAGGCTGTGTCCAGTTTCCCTGGGATTCCCCGTGTGGGCGCTGTTTGTACGTTCTTGTTCTGTCAGTGGCGTCGAGAGCTGGGAATGCCGTGCTCCTCACGGCAACAGCAGGATAGTGGGTCTGCTCCCACAACTCATGTCTGAATGACACAGGTGTGGAAAGGAAATGCGCTAGCCGCAGTGCTTCTAGCCTCCCTCTCCCGTCACCGCTGCCTGCTGCAGAGGTACGCTGCTGGGAAACCTCGGGGTAAGGTTGAAGCACAGTTACTTGTAGCAGCAATAATACTGGAGTCTGACTCTGGAGATCTTTCTAATGCACTGCAAGAGCACAGCTACTGAAGGTTGATGAGTCCAAGTCTTTCTTTCTCCTTAATGCTTGTTTGTATGCTGTTAAGAAAAGCAAATCCTTAATATGCAGACAGGCAGAGAGATGGTTTATTTCTTACGTGGTCTTTTTGCATTGTAATGCTGTAACAAACCAGCCTCAAGGCTGACAACTCGAACAGACAAAGGAGAGCATTTGCCAGAGGAAAGAAAAGCAGGATTGTTTGCCCAGTTGTATGTTACACCAGCCCCCCCTCTTGCTTTGCTGCTGTTACTTTTACGTATCTTCCCTAGTTGTCTGCGGCTGGTGTAAAACAAATTATCTTCAGCTTATTTTTATCACACCACAGGGTTCACATAAACCACAAAAGCGTGGGGAAATAATAAAAATTCAAGGGGGGAGGAGAATTATTTTACTGAACATTACAATAGAGGAATAATAAAAAAGTTCCCCTGGTATTGTACTCACATGCTCATTTAATAATATGGGTAATAAACAGGAGGAACTAAAAGTCATTGTATTGATAACCAAAATTATGAGTAAATTGTCATAACTGGTTATTGTTACGGAAATGTAAAAAAGTCAGCTGTAATCAGACAGCTTACATGGGTAACATTAGACACATAAAACACATGATTTAAGGAAATAATCTACTGACGTATGATGCTTACAGAAGTCACGTGCCAGATAAGTTTCAGCCAACATATTTAGTAAAATGGCTAAGCAATCTCAAAATTATTCGAAATTGCCATCAAGAACTCAGAAAAGACAGCTGAGGTTTCATGACATCAGGAAAGAGGAAAGGGTGCCCACCCTGATGAAAGAAGGATGGTAATCAGAGGCCAGTCAGCTTTACTTCATGTCAGGCAGAATACTGAACGCATTATTAAGCAAACTAAACCCCTGGATGATAAGATTAATAATAGCCAACCATAACATCTCAAAAACAAATAACTGAATCTTGACTTAGGCAAGGCTTCTGATGATGTCTCATCTAATACTCTCTCTCATAATGTGGCTAGAAGAGCACTGGCTACATGAAGCTTACGTGAAGTGGTTAGAGAATGGCTCTCAGAAGCAGTGTCAAGTGATTCACAAAAGAAGTCTGTAGCAAGCGAGATCTCCAGATGCTTACACATTCCAAGTCCTGAATGGCTTCAGTGATGCAATAGGATAGAGAATATTTGTATCATATTTGTGGAGGTTATCTTGTTCAGATTAGAGATGCAAGCATTTTGGAAGATGTAATTAGAACAGAACAAATCGTGAGGAGCTGAAACAAAGTTCTGAAGTAAATAGGATGTATTTCAACAAGACAAATATGTACGTATAGCTGGGAATAACAGCAAAAATGTAAGCTGCAGACAAACTGGGAGTTACTTTACAGAAAGAAGTCTTGGTTCATAGGATTTCGCAAATAGAAAATGAGTCAACAGTGATTTGGTGTTGCAAAAAAATGTGACTGTTTCACTGAAATGTGGAAGATGACTCTCAAACACAAAAGCAGCAAAATAATTCTTCTATTCCACTGAGCTCAAAAAAGTTTTTGGTGGTTTTGTCCACCTCCTCTCCATTAGATCTCTGTGGAGAACATAAAGAACTACAGTAAGTCTGGACAATTTGGCCTGGAGTCCTACTCAGTGACTGAAAGAAGTTCAGTTGGACATCTCAAGAGTCAAAGACATATGAATGTACAGCCTAAAAAAATATTCTGTTAAGAAAGCAGTCTATATGTGTACAAGAAAAGTGAATATACCTACCAGCCCATATGTTTGATTATGGAAATAAAAAGTTTCTGCCACTCAACTCTCAAAACACTTAATGAGACTTTGTTTTTTTAGTATACTTAAATCCTCACATCCTTAATATCCTGAGGTGTGATAAAAATCCTGAAGATGTAGAACATCCATACACTGGGAAAAAAAATTAGTTCTTTTAAAATCCACCAAGGAAAAAATAAATAAAAATCAATGTCAGGCCTCTTCTGCATTATCCACTACAGGAGCTGAAGCGTAATATTGCTGGACAGATGGTGATAAAGGAATCCACTTGCAGACTTAATTGGAGCAATAAGTCCATGTGCATTAATTTCCACAACCTAACCTCTACAGAGCTGACACATAAATATTTGTTTTGACAGAAGGGATTTCATTTAACTTTCTCTGAAGGACAAGGAAAGCCAAGGTCATTCAGCCTGTGGTCTGAACAGGCATCTCCCACAACCCATCTTTCTGCACTACCAGAGACCCATCTTTATCAGAAAGCAGGAAACTATCGAATTTGTCTGGGGAGGCCTGAAAACAGGCTTCAAGTAGAATTCCTTTTTAGGAGGTAATTAAGCCTATACCCATAAATAATAGAAAGAAAGTATAGCTTGGACACTAATGCAGGGGGAGGATCTTGCTTCAGGTCTTTACAGTATGTTTGAGCCCACTAGCTTAATATATTGATCTTGCTGCTGGAGTAAGCTTTAGAACGCAGAAAGCGAGTGACTTCTTACAGCTTTAGAACAAAGAGCATTGGAAGGAAATACTTAGGAATCATGCACTGACTTTTCCCTAGGGAGGTTTGATACTCTTAAAATCATGGGGCTGGTGCCAAACACTGTATGCTAGAGGTAAAATGGAGTCAAATTCCCTTCAAATGATAACTAATCAATACCTGAACTTTAGAGGAAGCATTTCACTTTTTTAATACTTATTAAGACTTTCTAGATACAAACTGTGGAGAAGTTTAAGTTCAATGTATTAATTATGTTCAGCACATTTCAAATATTCTAATTAATGGTGATACAGCCTTAAATAAACACACTGTTCACAATCAATATGAGAATATAGATAATCTATTTTATAATCTGGTTGTTAGTTTCCTGTATTTAGAGGGTCACAATGAGTTTATAAGTTACTTCTGACAGAACAAATGCACAAAAATCTGATGATGGTTGCAACTGAAGCAATAGCTTAGTGTCAGCAGTATGAAGTGGGACAAAACACAGAAAATATTTCTAGTTTTAATATGAAAATGTGGCCTTTGTGTGAAGTTACAGCTGCAGACCGAATTTCCAAATTCTTTCACCTTTAGGTACCTCAAAAAGCAGTATTATTCTATTTCAGAGAGAATCAACTGAGATCTACACTACCCATGGTCACTTATAACTGAGATGGAATGGAATTTATTCCTGGATTGCTATCGAACAGCTATAAAGTATTTTGACATTTTAATGAGATAGCGTATAACCATAAAAATAAAAATTAATTAAAAGTGAGATTGTGTCTGCTGAGATTTAAAAAAATTACCAACATTATGTTCATACAAATCAAACAATTGTTGGTTACTCTTACATATTAGTGCTATATTTTAATGAGATCTGGAATGATCTTTTTGTATGTTGCAGATTTACAAATTTAGGGCTTAATTTCCTTGTTACTTTTGCATGATTCATTTTGCAATGCAGCTACTCCTTAGAACATTAATAACTCGTAGACTTGAGATATCATAATAACAGAACTATAAATACCTATAAGGAATTACTAATAAAAGAGGATTTATGTAACTTTACTAAAATATTCATCTACAGAAGCAATAGAAGGGAATGAGATAGCTCGCATGATAGAGCATTATAACAATTTTGTGAATTAAGACACAATTCAGCAGTTGAGAACCATTTGGAAACTTCATCCAGAAGGACTCATTTAAACATGTAGCTCTATAATTTTTATTACAAGTGCAAGATCCTTTCTGCTGAAATTCTAAATTTTAAACACCAGCAGCAACCCTTCTGTAGCTACACACATTTTAGAGCTGTGATCTGTAGTTTGCAAGACATAGCTGTAGACATCTGCATAACACCATGAACATAGAAAATCCTTTGCTACCTGTCAACATGTCCTCTGTGTGTGT